GGTATGTTTTGAGTCTAGCAGCTGGATTATTCCATTTTTTAATCCATCTAGTTAGAGTCTTAGGATTCCAGCTCTCCAGTATCCAGGTAGAAAAAGTGGAGGACTGTCCTAGGATAGGTGCAGGGAAATTGCTATCATGATAAATGCAAATACAAGTCATGTGGATTCGGCATGCAGATAGGTTGGTAGTTGAGGTCATTCTCATTTACACCTATTTTTTTTTCCAATGAAATATGGGGTGAGATCATCAGGTGAGTGACAAGTGAGGAGTGTGAGATATTTGAAAGGAAGGGTGGTATGAAAATTGTCTCAGAGTGGAAAAATAAATTAGCTGGAGAAATGTGGTTGGAATTGAGGGAAGTATTGAATCTCACTTGAGATCTGTGGTCATGATTTAAAGAGGTCAATCAGCAGTGGGGGGTGTGATTTCATCCAGTTCCCACAGATACTTAAGTGTAGGTGCAGAATCAGTGAGTAGTTGGACTTAGTAAGATGTAAAGTTTGGCCAAGTTAGCTTAACAGGGGAAGAGAGGTTAACGGTGATAGGTTGGAAAGCAAGGCCACAGGGAAGGGCGGTGGATTTGGAGAAACTACGATGGAATGGAAGTCCTAAAGAATTATCCAACTGGATGATTGCCCAGTCCCCTTGCCCAGTCCCCAAAGCGGGGGCTTGGAGTAAGGTGCTTGGAACTTAGTTTACGTCTCAGTTTGCTCACCTTTAAATAAAGTACTTATCAATAAGTAATACTTTGTTAGGTCTTTCAAGACATCTGGGCTGAGAAACCCAGAATAGTACAGGTGAAAAGCAGAGTCACAGGACCTCCCAGTGGCTGCTAACAGAACACGGCCTCACGGGAACTACCAGGAGGGGTGAGTGTTACTTCTGATGACAATATTGAAAGGACAGTGGATTCAATTAAATGTAAGTAAACTTGTGTTGCCAGTATTGACACTGTGAATCACTAAATCTGAGGGCCCTTGGCACTAGCTGAGTTGTAGAACTGTTGAATGTATGTTTGTGTTTCTTTACCGTAAGATGTCCCCCGAAGTCACTCCTCTGGGGCAAAATAAAAACTAAAGGGAATGGCCGGCTGGGCGTGGCTCAGCGGTTGAGCGTCGACCTAGGATCCAGGTGATTAGGGTTCGATTCCCGGTCAGGGCACATGCCCGGGTTGCGGGCTCGATCCCCAGTCGGGGGCCTGCAGGAGGCAGCCGATCAATGACTCTCTCATCATTGATGTTTCTATCTCTCTCTCTCGCTCTCCTTTCCTCTCTCTGAAATCAATAAAGATATATTTTTTTAAAAAATCTTAAAAACTACAGGGAAGACTAAGAAATGAAAAAAAGTTTAAAGATATCAAAGTATAAACATATGCAAAGTGACACTAAAAGTTCAAATTAAAACTAGACCGGAATATTTACATGTTTTATTAAATCTTTACAATCAGTAAGTATAATCAAATACACATTTATATACAAGAATTATATACATTTTGCCCAGACTTTTACATCACAGTACATAGTTTCCCTTAGAAATGTTGTACACATTTATCACCAAACAATAAAATCCAACAACAGTAGTGTTACAGCACCTGTTAGTACAGACATCTTTTTCATAAATTACATCATAAGAAAATATACGGCTGTAAATTGGGCTTTTAAAAATGTCTCTTATAAAATCTGAACATACAATATTTCATTCACAGAATGTTTTTTTTCCTATGTTCTGACTAAAGCCTTGTGCATAAAACGACCGGTTGGAATATTTACTAAATCCCCCCACCTCTAAAATTATAAGCACTATTTGAATTACTTATGCTGAGCTTTCTTTATGATGAATTTGGCATGGGGTCTGGTGAGAGAACAAATGCTGGTTTTATTGTAAAAAGGGCTGTGTGACAGTACTTTAAACTAAGACAAATTCTGGAGAGAATTGTATTAGAGAAATTAAAATCAGAGAGTGCACAATTTTTCATTTTACTCTTTAATACTGTGAAGAAAAGTAAAAAGTATAATGTCAAAAATTATTTGTTCTGAAACAATTATATTCTTATTGGAAGCCTATTAAAGTTAAAAAAAAAAAGAAAAAAAGAACCTACCCAACAAAATATCCCACCCTAAACACATCTCGTAAATTACAATTCTTTCACACCTAAAACTTTATGGAGAAAGTACTGGAAACTAGGGTATATCATCTCGGTGGACTGTGATACGCAAGAAAACTACAGCTATTTTTAGTTGGTAAACAAGTTAAGTTTTAAAACTTGAAAATACCTGAATTAAATACTTGCTCTAATGTCTAACTTTTAACTTTCAGATAAAATCCTTACTTGATTCCAGGTTTGTAAACATTGTATAAATCCTTCTTAGTCAAACGATTTTATGGCTGTGGTGATCACTTCAGCTCTATTTCCATGCAGTCAACATTTAACTGAGGTAGACCAGATGTTACTAAAATTCAGGGTCTCATAGAATCCCCTGAATCTTTAGGAAGTAAATAAAATCTCTATAGAAGGTATTTAAAAAACAAAACATAAAAAAACTCTAATGCTGTTGGAAGTTTTCAACGAATTCAAAAACAACTTCATGGCAGTATATCAAATAAGAAATGTAGAGTCAATTGCATTGTTGGAGTATTGAAGCCAAACATTATACCTTCTTTTCTTAAATGGGGAAAAATCAAATATAATTCCTTCTGGGAACTGAGTATAATTTAATTCTTTTCTTTCCTGTCTTTCTTTTTAAGGATTCACTTTTCTAAACAAGTAAGCAATTTGCTTCTAGACCTCAATGAATGGCAACAACTCCCCCTAATGGCCAAAGGAAAGTACAGTGGCAGTAAGCTGGTTTTTCCTTGTATGCCACAAAAATCTTTGCTGGGGAAAAAAATTATGTTGTTTTGATCTTAGAAAAGTGAGATTTACACAACAATGGCTCTGAGCTACAAACAAAATCAAATCACTAAATATAAGGCTTCTGTAATCAAAGTGTTAGAGGAACATCTGCTCCCTTTCTCCAAGCCCCAGTCCTATAAATCAAGGCAAGTCAAGTAATTAAGCTTTAGCTATTTTGGCAGCTTTGCAATTAAGGTGAACAAAGCACTATGTCTATCCTTTCGTGAACTCTATGTATTATAGTTTTATCTTCTTACGCCAAATTTCACATGCAGTGACTAAAAATATCCATTTTGGGGTCAGGTTTAATTAAGGGTCAATAAAGGTCTTGTATACTACTCTTCC